AATCTATGTATGCTAAAATTAAATTAAATACATGGTTTGATTGTTCAAACATAAAAACATAAACAAGATCATGTCTTACTAATATAATAAAAATGTATCTGAGAATGTCTGTGGGTAATGTTTGGGGGATATTTAAAAAAATTTATATGTGGATTCTTAATAAGACCAATAGGTAACAAAACAAATATTTTAGAATTTTTGTCTGTCTGTCTGCTTGTTTATATGCACGTTTCGGCATCATGAAAAAATTACTGCACCAAATCAGGTGTAATTTTCACAGTTGTGTCTCTATAAAATTAACTTAAAATCAGGTGTAAATTTTAACTTAATAAGCCGCCTAAAAGTGTTTATTTCATTAGTTTCCTTACTTCTGCAATCGATGTGTACAATGTAATAAAAATTTGTTAATAATATTAATAAAATTACAAGACGGTGTAACAGGTGCCCAGGTTAAGCTTGCGTCCTCAGATACCCTCTTGCGTAGGCTAAGGCTAGTTTTATTGTTTGTAGTTCTTATTTTACGAGAGAGTTCTGTGTCATTTATTATGAAACAAGGTGCAACAAGTCAATGTTGGTTCATAAGTAATGAGGTAGATTTTTTTAAATAAGGAATATTCGCTTTTAAATTGTACATTCAATCTTATATATAAAATTCTCGTGTAACGGTGTTTGTTACCAAACTCCTCCGAAACGGCTTTACCGATTTTTATGAAAATTTGTGTGCATATTGGGTAGGTCTGAGAATCGGCCAACATCTATTTTTTATACCCATCAATAATAAGGGTGACCCTCCCCAAAAAATATTTTTTTATTTTTTTGACAAATTTTTCCATTTTTATTTTATTATGATTTAGCATTGAAAAATACATACAACTTCAAATTTTCACCGTTTTACGATCAACTCCTGTTTTTTAATCGTGATTTTTATATGCTGCAATAGGGTTGCAAGATGACAATCCAATATAATAATTGTAGTAGGATAAATTTTCATGTATAGTTCTAAAAATAATGTATATGGTAAAACAACGTTTGCCGAGTCAGCTAGTTATTTAATAACAGAGGTTTTTATAAGGAGGCGTTTAAAACCTATCTATCGAAAAATCAATCTTGTATTCGTAGAATGTAAAAAAATTAGTAAATACTGTTTTATTATCTTCATAATATAACGTGTTTATAAAATATAATTGAGAAAACTAATAAAGCAACTTATATCAGATTAATTTCTAATTAGTTTGTAGGTAATAAACCTTTCTATATTAAAATAAATTAACTAAGTGTAACTTAGCACTAACTTTAACTTCTACTAATTATTGAAAAAGAAAATCAAAGCATCATAATTTTGGTTATTTCATTATAATTATTTTGTTCAATTCCGCTACTATTAGTACTAGTATTATGTATAGTATAGTATATATGACCGGTGATATATATATATATATATATATATATATATATATATATATATATATATATATATATATATATATATATATATATATATTATTTGCAGTCACACACATAGAAATAGTAGCAGAATTAAAATAATTCAAATCAAATAAGTAGTGGTATAAATATCCGTAAGATGGTTTCCTAGTTGATTAAAAAAATATAATTTTGTAATTCATTGCCTGTATTGAAATCTCTTGTTAACACTTAATTTTGATATGAAATATGATGTATAAAAACAAATTTGTATAATTACCTAATTAAATAATAGATTAACCAATAAATTCCTCTGAAAGTTAATGTAAATAATATTATAAAATCAATATACTGTATTTTTATTATTAAATTTATGAAAGATTGAGGTGGCGTAACGGAGGCCAACTTTTGTTTTTGCCTGCGCACCGGCCCGTTTTTATCCAATATTTGAAATTTTGAAGTTGAAATATATAAAGTGCAAAAGTTTGTGCCAATCCGTCATCATGTTTGGTTACATTAATCACTTTCAGACCGCGTCGACGTTTAATATTTCACCTTTTTGCATCTGACCTTCGCGTCTTTGAATGATTGGTGTAGGGAGGCAGTTACCGTTACTCGGAGCTGTTTGCCTTGTATACGTCTTACTTTATGTAAGACTTTGCAAATTTCATTATTAATTCAATTTTAATTAGGATATTAAAATGTTTGTTTCTGTACTATGTTATTATCAAGGATTATTATATTAGGCGTCAACATTCCATTTCTGAATATAGATCTACTGGTAAAACGCCCCATTAAGGGGGTTTTGATAGTAGTTACCATGCTTGGCAACCATCGTTAGGATTTGGTGATGTTTAAAAAAACGCTGTTGCCCATTCCTCGAACATTAAATTTTCTTTGTCACCTCTTATGACACCTACAGGACAGAAAAGGCCAATTCTATATCGGGGCCACACGACAAAATGTTAGTAATTAATTGTTTATATTTAAACATAATGTTGAATTGTAATTAATTGTGTTGTAATTAATTTTAATAAATTTAAATATTTATTTGTGTATTATATTTTTATAATAAGTTTACTATTGTAATCTTATGGAGGAAAGAATAAAAAGTATAGAAATAAATCTTGTACTAAGTTTTACGAAGTATTTTGCTTTGTATGTAATATATTTCATTTAAGACTGTTATTTTGGAGTCGTTAATTTCGATAAATCTTTAGTTAATATAATAAACGTGAAAGTAAATTTATTGGTTTATTAAGTCTTTGAGCCTCAACAACTTAACTAGTAAGTAGTCATGAACTTTAGTTTACACTTACTATTTAGGTTGGCGAAGGACATAGGTTACAATTAAATGCGGTCAATCTATATATAAACGAACGAAGTTGCATGTGAAAGCTTACTTATAGTTCAATCCATATTTTATTTGTAATTATTAATTAAAAGTTTAGAGTAATTTCAGGGATTGTCACTTCAGAATAGCTTTGAATGTCCATTTAAATTTAATGATTTTGTTGCCTTATACAAATTAATAAATAAAATATATAAGGGCCATAATTCAACGGTCTGAATGGCAAGGAAAACAGACAATCTCGCAAACATCAGTGGAGACGTGGCTCTGAATTCCATTTGGACTGATCCTCGCTCTATACGGATTTGGCATAATCTACTTCGAGTGGCGACGATTCGTCAGGGCCTCACGTCTCATTTGACGATGGAGATTGCCTTAGGAACTCACATTTTTAGCATTTCAATGCTCGATTTGTTAATTGTGTGAAGTTTTAAGCTTAATATGTAAATTTAATTTTTATAGGAAATTTATTTCAGTATAAAAATTCTATATAAAATTCTTTTAACGAATACTGTGCTGGTATTACTTAGAATAATAGAATATAAGTTTAGTTTATAAAACAAAATGTCTGGTTTTGCCATTATTGTGGAACATAATCTAAAATCAAAATAGGTAATATTTTGGTATAAAAAAATCAGTTGATTAAACTAAATTACTGAATCGATATTGATACAAATCTAAGTTGTTGGTTACAGCAATGGAGTTATGAGGTAGCAAATATAAAACAAAAATTTTAATATATAACCCAGAAGTAACAAATATATATTTTATTTTTTTTATTTTTGTTACTTCTGGGTTTTGCTAGTAGTTGCCAGTTAGCATGCGCATTAGCAACCGCAGTTAGGCTTTAGAGACATTTTAAAAGGGACGCTGTTGTCTATCCCTCGCCCTCTTTTAGTTAGTTCTTACGACACCCACAGGATAGGAAGGGATAGGTAACCTATTCTATGCCGGGACCACATAAAAGTACATATATATAACTTGTCAGTTGATCAGAATTGTTTCGTTTAATTCTGTTATCATTGTATCTTTGCGAGTGTCAACATTTAATTGCCAAATATTATTATTAATTCTACGACCTTTCCTTTTTTTTTTTTACAACACAGGGGGCAAACGAGCATGCGGCTCACCTAATGGTAAGTGACTACCGCCGCCCATGATCACCCACAACACCAGCGGCATTGCAGGTGTGCTGCCGGCCTTTTAAAAAGGAATATACTCTTTTTTTGAAGGTTATGTTGTCGTATCGGTTCGGAAATACTGCTGCTGGAAGTTGATTCCAAAGAATGGTTGTGCGTGAAAGAAAGTGCCTTGAAAAACGCACAGTGGAGGACCGCCACTCGTTTCCTATTAGTTATCAATCTCCGATTGTATTATATATATAATACAATACACATGGTATAGATTGAATAACAATCAATTTATACCTACACATGTTACGACACGTGTATAGACTGAATAACGATCTAAATGTGACATCATTAAGCTATTAGGCATCATTAAGCAAACCTTAGAGTCTAGATTGTCGCGTACAGCGCAGTTTCAGAGATGTTTTCTCTCATAACGCTCAGGTTATGGAATAAGCTTTCTGTCGAGGTTATTCCAAGAGACTACAGCGTGAGGTTCTTCGAAAAAGGGGTAAAGAGGTTTTTTTAAAGTCGTCAACGCGCGGCTAATGTCTCTGGTATTTCAGGCGTTCATAGGCTACGGTAACAGTTTACCATTAGATACCATTTACCAGATTTACCAGAGAGAGACTTTGTACAAAAGTCGATTGCTTGGGTACTTCTATCCCATTCGTGTTTTAACCGTGAAGCAGTTGTGTTTGCATAGCTGTGTTTCGGTTTGAAGGGTACAGAGGAATAACACCCGAGTTCTCAGGAATGGCAACGCATGGGGGGTATCATGGGTGAAACAGTCACGTCTCTGTTATGTCCATGGTATTGCGCATGTCTATAGGCGACGGTTACCACTTTCCATGAGGTGGGCTGTCAGCTTGTTTGCCATTCTAAGTTGTATAAAAAAAAAAAGAAAAAAAAGATAGACTGTATGCTTATTTGCTACCTCAGTGGCATAAAAAAAAATTATAAATGGCATCTCAGACCCTAGAGCAATTTGTGCGTAGACTGCCGTAAAATAACAATTTAATAAATCAAGATTATACTCATTCAATTATTTAAATTGGATAAATTTATAAATTCAATTCAATTCAATAAAATGAAAAGTCTGTTATATTTTAAAAAGATATTTTATTAATTCGCCCAAACAATGTTTTCGATCCAATCAATAAAACTAGACACCCTAGTGTAGACCCCGGGCAAGTTTGGCAGTGCGCAGCCGACACCGAACGATGTGATTCCGACGACATAGTGCATGGTACCTTCAACTTTCTTGTATGGTTCTGGTAATGGGATCTTTACTTGTAAAGGCCCTCCTGAGTCTCCCTGCATATTAGAAATACTTTTAGAAAACAATTTTCGTGCAAAACATAGATTTTTTTACATGCTTCATGCTCAGACCCGGAACATAATCTATTCAATGAAATAAATCAAATAAGATTCGTTGGGGTTTCAATGTTTGTTGTTACTATAAAAATGATACAATTAATACAAAGAACATAATTAGAGTAACAACTGTTTACATTAATTAATTCTTAATAGTCAATGAAGTAGAAGTAACTGAAAGTAGAAATAATAATATACCTGACAGGCGTCAACACCACCGTCCAGTTTCCCGGCGCAGAGCTGGTGATCCTTTATTCCAACCCAGTGCCTGTTGGATGAAGACCTCAAGAACTGGTCGCAATTATAGGAATCTATGATGTTCACATCGCCCGCTTGTAGTTCTTCAGACGTGTTGCGATTACCTGAGATTATTGTAAAGAAATAAATTGAAGAGAGCGTCTTTTCTTGGTGTATTGCTCCAAGTCTTCTATGATATTTAGAATGGCAAACAAGCTTAAAGACCACCTGTTGTAAAGTGATACGCCTATAGATATTAAAAACAAATCATAAACAGTACATCACAAATAATGCTATGTAGCCTATAGTATGTATGCGCCATTTCTGTAGACTATGGTGTTTAACATCATAATCATATAAGTTTTTAACTGTCCACTACTGAATATAAGCCTCCCACAAGGAGGGCTTTGTCAGTAGTTGTCACGCTTAGCAGGCGGTTTGGCAACTGCAGTTAGACTTTGGAGATGTTTTAAGAGGGACGCTGTTGCCAATCCTTCGCCATCCGCAATCGCCTCTTTCGACACCCACGGGAAAGAAAGGTGTAGCCTATTCTGTTTCGGGACACACACAGAAATGACTATGGTGTTATGTTTCCATATATTGTAATTTCACTGCCATAGTTCAAAGCTTTATAAGTCTATTCGTATATAAAATTTGATAAATTTTCTTAAAAAAATAAAGTTATCTAATGTGAGATCTACTTTTTCTTCTTGTGATACTTTATCCCTTTATTTTAAAGAATAAATGTTACCGTTTTTATAAACGCCCCATCCAGTAACAGTAGCCACGCTTCCATAACTATCATCGTTTTTGGTCCACAAACATGCTGGTTGTAACGCTTTGGTAAATATCACTTCTTTGTCGATTTCCATTAACGCTATATCAAAATATTGCTTCGGAGGCTTGTATTGCGGGTGCGGTATTATTCTAGATATATTTCTATCAGTAGGACTATCCTGTGGAAATAATAAGTTTCTTAATGCATTGTTCACTGTTTAATTCCCACGAAAGGTTTAAGATGGCTTCTAAAGAACAGAAATAAAAAGAACACTGAAGGGATATCTTATGTGATTATGTTTACGATACTCAGAATAGCAAATAAGCAGGATCTAACAAATCTGCTGTTAGCTGTATCGCTTTAGCAAATAATTAATAAATCAACTTACAATTACATTGTTGCTGTTAAGATTCTTAACACCAAATCTTATGATCTTTGGTACTATGTCTGCTATCCTGGTATCCTTCGGAGATGCTTTTGTACAGTGACCGGCTGTTAGTACAAACTTGGGGCTAATGAGAGTGCTCCCGCAGTTGAATAACCACCCATCGGTGACGCTCCTCCAGCCTATAGCGCCCTGGTAAGGAAAAGGCTTTTGATCAAGAAGGTAAAAAAAAGACCATTGCAGTAATATGACAACGGTAATGTTATAAAGGTTTTTAAATGTGATTCCATTGCTACTTCGACACGCGCTCGACTTTTGGGCCACCTGCGTAACGTTGCTCGTTCTAGACATCCATTGCCACTCGTCGAGGTGTGGAAGCAGGAGGTGAAATCCGTTTCCAATACAAATTGCTCCAAACCGGATTTTATTACTTTATATAAGTATCGAGACTTCCCAGAAACAATACAAAAAACTTAAAAAAAATGCAAAATAATTACCATGTGAGGGAATTCTCCAGGGAGTGTAATTCGACCTCCGATGACGAAGCGTACACCCAAATATTTATATTGATAATGTCTACCTGTAATTTGAAAGTAATATTTAGAAGATATAGGGTTTAATTTTAAATAAAAGAAAATGAAATGATAATTTCGATTGCACTCTTGATTTGCGCAGGCGGATTACTACTAAGGCATATTAATTAGGACGAAATCAGTCATTTGGTCGATTATGATAAATTTACCAGAATTCAACCATGCGGATCTCTAAAGGGAATCCCCTGGAGATCGGTGTAACAGGTACACTGTCTGCTGATAATGAGGTAGCTAGTCTTCTCTCTTACATCGAGAGATTTGCAAAGTCAAGACAAAATTGGAATTGAAATTACTATGTGCGAAGAACCTTTTTATTTTCATATCGTTTTCCTTTATTTTGTTTTTGTATAGTTCTTGTCTAGTGATGACATATACCTCTCGACTCTGGGACTTTACAAAGAACTTAAGAATTATTTATTTTCCCTTACTCACGTATTTAGCTTCGGGGTTGCCCCTAATTATTTTCATTCGGATATCCCTAAAATATGACTCACGTTAGTTTTTTACAAGATTAACACTAAAAATTATAATCTATCTGTAACGTAACATGCTTTTTTATCAAGTGACAAGTTTAAATAATTTAGATGTAAGTTAATAAATAGAATAGGAATCTTTATTCAGATAGACTTGTATGGAAGCTCTTTTGAATTGTAAATTTTATATGATTCTACTGTTTAGTTTGGGATGTTGTTATCTGCTGAGAAGAACCCGCAAAAATTCAATAGTTAATCTTTTCGATTTCTTCGTATACAATTTTACATTTATTTTTAGCCTCTGAGATGACCTCTTTAGACCATGTGAGGGTCGACCTCACATGGTATATTGCTAGCAATGAGACTGGTAGTCCATATTATTAACAATACCTACCGCCCCTTTCCTAGTATTACAAGCGTTCATAGGCTACAGTGACCGTTTACTATCACAGGGACTGTATACTTGTTTCACACTTTCATGGTATAGTATATATATTATAATCTCATTTAATAATTAATCATTTATCTGACCAATTTTAATATCAAAGTGAATATCCTCGTAGATGAGTCCTTATTGAAGGTTTTAAAAAGTGTCAACTCTTATATTTGACGAATTACTTCGGTATAGTGGCACTTCGGACAATTTAAATCTCGGCTTGGGTCGTCAAATTATGATAATATAAAAGCAAAAACTCAATTAATTACTAGGAAACAAAACATTATTATTATTATTAATTTTTACATGTATAGTACTTTTTTTTATACAACTTAGAATGGCAAACAAGCTGACGGCCCACCTGATGGAAAGTGGTAACCGTCGCCTATAGATATGAACAGTACCATGGACATAACAGACTGTTTCGCCCATGATACCCCCGATTCCGTTAATTATCCACTGCCGAACAAAGGCCTGCCTGTATTGAGGGGTTTTGCCAGTAGTTACCGCGCCTGGCAGGGAGTTAAGCTTTTAGTGATGTTATAGGACAGACGCTGCTGTCTATCCCTTCATGCCGGAACTACACGGCAATTAGTATGTATACTCGATTTTAATTTTTAACAAATTTAATTCAAATGCCATATAATAGTGTCTAGTCGTTTTAGCGTCATCGGGTGACAAACATCCAAAAAATATTTACAAATTTTCGAATTTATAATTAGTAGGAAAAATTATACAGTTTACTACATAACAACCTTATATCATACTCGTGTGAAAGATATTAAATTTGTACTTACATTTGATAGCTCTGTCATTTATATCTACTCGGTTTTTTAACTCCCAAATATATTCGTAGCATTCTATAAAATAATACAAAATATAAAATAATTTATTAGTCAAAAGATTCATTTTTTTTTATTTATTATGGATCTAATTAAGCCATTAATTCCTAAGGAGGCAGTTAGAAGTATTTTATTATTATTAAAATATTAGAATGCAATGTGACAGAGGGCGAGTCTATCGCTGACATTTCGATCAATTTGGGTTTTTAACTCTTCACTTTAAGTTGGATTAAAATTTAAATTGACACATATTTTTCGCAGTAATAAGGTTTCTTTCCAATGGATAATAATGAAATGGTAACCCCATCCGCGCTAAATGTATACGCTGACGGGGTATTAGAGAGGGATGACAGGTGAGAATGAAAAGGCAGGTCAGTTAGCCCATTGTGATGAATACATCTGGAATTCAGCATGATTCTTTCCAAGGAAAGCCACGTGGGTGTCGATCTTATAGTGTATATTGCTAGCAATGGGACTTGTAGTCCACTTTACTAACAATCCCTTCCCCCTCCGAATAATAAGATTGCCTGACATATAAATATAGACTAATATACAATGAAGATTTAATTAGCATTTTATTACCAATACAGATTAATTATTTTGTATTTTGTGAGTACCAGTATGTTTCTAATCATCATCGTCATCATATCAGCCTTTAAATGTCCACTGCTGAATATAAGCCTCCCCCTTGAGGAGTTGTCACTAGTTGCCACACTTGGCAATCACAGTTGGGCTTTAGAGATGGTTTAATAGGGACGCTGCTGTCTGTCCCTCGCCCTCCCTTAGTTGCCTCTTACGACACTCACGGGAAAGAAAGAAAGATATAGATAGATAATAATATAAAGTTCTATCAAGTGCCGATTTTAGGACTATACATACGAATTATGTAATAATTTACTTGTAACACTTATTCTGCGGCCTGGAGCGTAGAAATTTGGTTGGACGGATGGCGGGTCGTTGCATGGATTCGGTGGTAGGGTTGTGGTCGGTGCAGTTGTGGTTGTTGCTTCGGTTGAAATTATCTGTCTTCCATTGAAATTACTCTGTAATATCGAGTGTTAATGATACATTTCCATACTTTACTTATTGTAAAAATCGTAAATACATCTAGTTTTGTCTTTACCAAAAACTACAACAGGGATTTTTACATTTTTTTAGGAAAAAACGAGTAACAAAGTAAATAGGTAACGCACACGCAACTGGCATTACAAGCTTTCACAGGTAACGGTAGCTATTACATTAGGCGAGGCGTATGCTTGTTTGTCATATTAGTGATATATAAATAGATATATAAATATATATATATATATATATATATATATATATATATATATATATATATATATATATATATATATATATATATATATATATATATATTTATATATATAAAATAATGGGTTATATAGTTTTCTTTGCTCTTTTATTTTTACTGTATTTTAAAATTTCTTTTTTTTTCGTGTTAAGAACATACTCCGGTATGTTTTTCATGAAGCCTTGTTAAATAAAAATTAATTGTTTTAATTTAATTAATTTTTGAATAAAATTATAATATGATATGTATTACTTACATTAGACGTTGTCTCTAGCGAATCAATATAACTCCAATTCCATCCTTCGTCTTGCTGAAACAATATTAAAAATGTGTATATCAATATATATATATATACATATATGTCAGAAATAATACATAGTCTATGTTATTCGTATGTATGTCGACGACTCTCACGCAAATTAGAATTAACGAGGTAATAAAGTATATATACATATATAAGTGACGGTTACCACTTTTATCAGATGGGCGGACTACTCGTTCACCATATAGGGAAAGAGATTTTTAATAATGGTGTCTAATAGCTCTATTGTAAGCAATATACCCTGTCAGGTCGACCTCTACTCAGCTCTCCCTGGAAACCACAGTGGTTAATTACTGTGAAATTTGCTACGAAGTGTGGACTGAAAGACGATGTAGTGACAAAAATCGAAAAAAGAATGTTGCGTTGGTTTGGTCATTTGGAGAGGATGAATGAAAGAAGAATTACGAAAGAGATTTATCGAGCAATAATGAATGGAGATGTCGGTAGGGACCGCCCTAGACGGACGTATGTTGACCAAATAGGCGTGCTGAAGAAGGGCCAAATTAAAAGTACCCGCAACTGGCGAGCGTGTATGAAAAGATTGATGAATGTGGAAGAAGCGAAAGAGGTTTGTTTGAATCTAAGCATTTGGCGTTCCATTGTTTCTGCCAACCCTAATGGGAGACGGGCGTGACAGATATGTATGTATGTATTTGTTACGATAAATCTGCTTCTATCCTTATCTATTATCATTCTGTTTGTACTGCTCATGTATATAGGCGACGGTTACCACTTTCCATCAGGTAAGCCGTCAGCTTGTTTGCCATTCTAAGTTGTATAAAAAAAAAGTAATAGTAACAAATTAGTAACAATGTAAGCAAAGGTGAACTTATCTCTAAAAGAGATCTCTTCCAGTCAACCCAACACAGTGAAATAGGAAGTAGTGAATTGGCAATAATAGTGACAAACAGAATAATAAACAACCATAATAAATATTTACATAATTTACAAATAATATAATAAGATAATTTAAAAATAATCCTGTATTAGTATAGGAATCTGTTAATTTTGCACCAATCGATTAAATAATAGATATGATTTATTTATTTAGGGCGAGAGTTACCAATCTTTTTTTTTTATACTACTTAGAATGGCAAACAAGCTGACGGCCCACCTGATGGAAAGTGGTTACCGTCGCCTATAGACATGAGCAGTACCATGGATATAACAGAGTATACTGTTTCGCCTATGATACCCGCCCATGCGTTGCCATTCCTGAGTACTCAGGTATTATTCCTCGGTACCCAGTAAATTCACGCCATATCCCACACTTCAAACCGAAACACAGCCATGCAAACACAACTGCTTCATGGTTGAAACACGAATGGGACAGAGGTACTCAAGCAATCGACTTTTGTACAAAATCTCCCTCTTGTACAAAGTCTCCCTCTGGTAATCTGCCAATACCAATCTACCAAACTACAAAGTTGCCAATCTGTCTATCAAGCGTGGCAACTACTAGCGAAACCCCACTAGGAGGAGACTTATGTTCAGCAGTGGATAGTTATATCAGTACAGGAATCTGTTAATTTTGTATCAATTTGTGTGTATGTCTGTTATGTCCATGGAACACCTAAGTCCTCAGGAATAGCAACGCATGGGGGGTATCATGGGCGAAACAGTATACTCTGTTATGTCCATGGTACTGCTCATGTCTATAGGCGACGGTTAACACTTTCCATCAGGTGGGCCGTCAGCTTGTTTGCCATTCTAAGTTGTATAAAAAAAAAATGTTTTTATAATAGATATTATTTATATGTACTTGTATAAAAGTGACGTCATATATATGAAGGTCAAGTGTGATTTACACATTATATAGCTACAAATAGTGTCAGCCAAGTATTATTTGCAAGTACTTAAATGGGTATTCTTTATCTCATAGCAAAATAATATCCTAACTGACCTATCAATGTCAAACAAATATTACTAAGCCGGGATTTTCCTTTGTCTTACTAAGGTTAGAATAGAAAAGTTTTTTCTCTAATCTGGTGCTATAAATGGTATCTAGTTTTAACTTGTCGTTGGATTGAGGGGAAAAGGACTTTTAGACTACAGCATGGGGTTCTTCAAAAGGGGGGTAAAGAGGTTTCTTCAGGGTCGGCAACGCGAGAGTAATACCTCTGGTATTGCAGGCGTTCATAGGCTACGATAACCGCTTACCATCAGGTGGGCCGTATGCTTGTTTGCCACCTCAGTGGTATAAAAACAAAAAAAAGGGATTGTTAGTAATGGAGACTGAGAATCCCATTGTTAGTAATATTGGGTATATTACCAGGTTGACCTCCTCCCGATTCTCTCTGGAAACTATCATGGTTAATTCCTGATGAATTCGTCATGATAGGCTAGCTGGCCTGTTTTCATTCTCATTTATCACCCTTCACTGGTACTCCGCCAGCGTATCCCGTTAGCGCAGGCGGGGTTACCATATCATTTTCACCCATCAAAAAAAAACTTGTCGTTGGGGAGGAGGGGGGGGGGGGGGGGTGAAGGGATTATTAGTGATGTGAACTACAGTATTGCAGTCTCATTCCTAGTAATATACCTTGTCAGGTCAACCTCCACTTGGTCTCCTCTGGAAACATCATGCTGAATTCCAGGTGTATGCATCACGATGGGCTAATTGACCTGCCTTTTCATTCTCACCTATCACCTCTCATTGGCGCCCCGCCAGCATATACCGTTAGCGCAGGCGGGTTTACCATTCCATTATCATCCATTAAAAAAAAACTTGTAGTTAATTATATATCAACAATTTTTTTATTCATGACTAGTTTTTTGGTCGTTATTTCGTACGCGTAAATTCCAAAAGTAGAAGAATCAATTACATAGTCGTATTTATTTTAATATTTATAAATGGCGTGTCAAGATAAAAATAAACCAGATATTAAGTTAGACCTTCAGGAATATTTCATTCAACTATGGAAACCGCATCCAATTCGGTGTAGTAGTTCTTGCGTGTTGCCGTAATTAATATACAGACAGACAGAAAGACGAACGGAATTTTTCTTATTAATTTTTCTCAAAAATCTTCCACGTACAGACATAATCTATATACAATTTTTAATATACAAGTAAGATAATTAGAGTAAAAAATTATTCAATACATTCGAAATGCTACTATCATTACCACCCTGATTAAATTTAACGTGTCTGTCTAGATAAGTATATGTATTCGCCGTGTGGTTTCGGCATAGAATGGGCCACTCTTCCTTTAATAATGGGCCTTCACTTAAGGGTGGGAGATTTGCCAATAGGTCCCAAACTTTAGTGATAATTTAAGAGGGACACTGCTGTCTATCCCTTGATTATTAATTTCCCTTAGTCGACTCTTACGACACTCACGGGATAGAAAGGGGTGGCCCATTCTATGCCGTGTGCTCCCGGAACTTTAATGAATACTTATATTTATATCTAAACTAAAGTATTCCATAAAGACAAGGCATGCAATCTTTGCATGGTTGTGTTTCGGTTTGAAGGGTAGGATATAGCGTGAATTTACTGGGTACGGAAGAATAACACACGAGTCCTCAGGAATGGCAACGCATGGAGGTTATGATGGGCGAAACAGTATACTCTGTTATGTCCAGACTTTGTAAAAAAGTCGATTGCTTGGGTATCTCTGTCACATTCGTGTTTCAACCGTGAAGCAGTTGTGTTTGCATGGCTGTGTTTCGGTTTGAAGGGTGGGATATGGCATAAATTTACTGGGTACAGAGGAACAACACCCGAGTCCTCAGGAATGGCAACGCATGGGGGTATCATGGGCGAAATAGTATACTCTGTTATGTCCATGGTACTGCTTATGTTTATAGGCAACGGTTACCACTTTCCATCAGGTGGGCCGTCAGCTTGTTTGCCATTCTAAGTTGTATAAAAAAAGGAATTAAGAATCATTATATATTTCTTTATTCTTTCAAATACGAATAGTAAGAAGTTTGTATAGTTTTATACCAAGCTTTTTTTAAGCAACTTACAATTGCTAACAAGCTGACGGCCCACCTGATGGAAAGTGGTAACCGTTGCCTATAGACATGAACAGTATCATGGATATAAAGGTAATAAATGTATACTAAGTTGATTATTATTATTTTATTATTTCTACCGTTAATTGTCCATTGCTGAAAATCAGCCTTCCCCATAAGTATACTAAATAAATGTATGTATATTGTGACAACTTTATTCACGCTCAGATAGTTAAAAAAGTTATTTGTTTGGAGAGAGACATGTTACCTATAAAATCTAGGATTATAGTATTGTGTACATACCCGTTTGAATCTTGATACTTTCTGTGTTGTTGCAACTTGTAGAACATCAACTGCAAAGAATATGAAATGCTAAAACCGGTAAAGATACGGTATATATATACATACATATAAGAAAAATACAAGAAAAATATACAATATTAAAATAGTATACTCTGTTATGTCCATGGTACTGTTCATGTTTATAGGCGACAGTTATCACTTTCCATCAGGTGGACGGCAGGCCCGTTTGCCATTCTACGTTGCATAAAAAAACGCATAATTCTAAACTGAGTTTAAATTTATCTTTAGCCCTTTTTTCTCCATTTTTTAGTCTTATTATTTTTCTGTTACGCCTTGACTAGATACAATTTTAATTATTCCTCCAAATCCTAAGGCTGTATGGAAGAGATCGCTGTTTAGTGATAAGGCCGCCCAATGTTGCCTTTTTATCTTGCTTTTATGTAATGAAGTTTGTGTCATTTTGTTTGTGTGCATACTGTTAAGTTTTATAATCTGTATAATTTTTTTTAATGAAACAATAAAGTTTTCATTCATCCATTTATTTATTCTAAATCATCTTTATATAGGGGGAAAGGTATACCCAACCAAGTAGACCTCCTCGCGGTTCCCCCTGGAAACTATCATGGTTAATTCCTGATGAATTCATCATGATGGGCCTGGCCATAACTGACCTGTTTTAATTCTCATCTATCACCCTTTACTGGTGCTCCGCCAGCGTATCCCGTTAGCGCAGGCGGGGTTACCATACCATCTTCACTCATAAAAAAAATCATCTTTATAATGGAGTTGTAGAATGTATTGTGTAGGGACTGTACCATAAATCGTTGGAACGTGACATAATATGTTAATCCCCTGCATGACTAAAGTATCGTTTTATGCACTAGACAAGATTTAAAATAAAAATAAAATCATTCATTGACCGTTATGTCCGAGGTCATTGAATACGAGTATGTGCAAAAAAATTAATGTACATTTAATGAATACATCTGTCGTCATTGACAAAACAGACACGAAAAAAGCACATTTTGATTTAAAAACTGAACAACTGAACTAGTTGTAATAAAATTTCTACAGGAGCAATCTTTAAGTATATCCTTTTAAGATAAAAAATAAATTACCAAATCGGTTTATAATTAACGGAGTTATGGGGTAATACACATAAAAAATACAACCGAATCGAGAATCTCTTTTTTTAGACGTCGGTTGAAACCGGTTCAGAACAGAAATGGGCGACGTAATTGTGTTACATTGTCACAAAAAAAAAAACAAACAAAAATCGAAACTTAAAAACTAAAAATAACTAACTTAAAAAATAGAATCACAAATAATATTTACCTGCAATAAATAACTTCAAAATAAATAATACTATGTACATATTGATTTGCACTTTCAACTTACAAATTGTGAATTTTTGTTATTATGTAAATTTTCACAGAAGTTCACTATTAATTTTAAAAAGTCTTTTAATAATATGGCAGCAAATTCAACATAAATATGAGCGTCTCAGACAAAATATTGGACTTGAATAACAAGTTTGTATGTATGTACGTGTGAACAGGAAAATGAGTAGAATATTAAAAGGTTTAGTAGAAATAGTAATACCATCATAATTAGAATACAATATGACTCATCGTGGTTATCAATCAATAATTAAAATAGATATTAATAGTTTGTCAGAATAGATAATAGACAAAATAATAAAGAAGCGTACAACTTCGTTCGCCGTACCTTCTCTAATCGGTCGTAAATAAAATTCATTTACGTCCATGTGATTTCATTGTGACTACACGTGTGAGGTTAGCGCCCGCTGGCGTTAAGAGTTTCTAACACATTTGCATTGCTCACGGAGGCTCACGTGACTTATCGGGCGGTTTTACGTGTCTTCCGCAGCACGGAGCAGCTCTACTAGATTCTTTCGGGGGAACGAAGTTCTAGGAAAAATGTAAAACGGCTTGGAGAAATTTGTGTAATTTATTCTGACAGTGTTGGTTTTTGTTAAACATATATAAAACATGTGAATGAATTAAGGTAGTAAAACGGAAGATTTTTTTTATACCACGGAGGTGGCAAACAAACATACGGTCCACCTGATGGTAAGTGGTTACCGTAGCCTATGACCGCCTGCAATACCAAGGGCATTACGCGCGCGTTGCCGTCCCTAAAGAAACCTCATTACCCCTCTTTGGAAGATCCCCATGCTGTAGTCTCTTGGGAAAACCTCGGCAGGGAGCTCATTCCATAACCTGAGTGTTCGTGGGAGAAAACATTTCTGAAACCACGTTGTACACGACTATTTAGGCTGTAGGATATGAGGATGAACTTCCTGTCGATGGTGAGCCGTACGATGGTTGAAAGTGGCCGAATATAAATACTAGTATATAAATATAACTCAGTCACACGGGTAAAGGTAGATAGATAGAAGATAAATTTGCAAATATTGTAAATAAAAAAAACGGTCTTAAAATATGTTATTTATTGATTCACCCAAACAATGTTTTCGATCCAGTCAATAAAACTGGACACCCTTGTGTAGACCCCAGGCAAGTTTGGCAGTGCGCAGCCGACACCGAACGATGTGATTCCGACGACATAGTGCATGGTTCCTTCACGGTTACTGTATGGTTCTGGCAATGGGATCTTCACTTGCAAGGGGCCTCCTGAGTCACCCTGAAATTTATAATGATTTTTAAAAGCGAGCTTTGAAAGTAGATCTTATTATTAATGATGATGATTTTGTAAACATACTGTAATGGTAACCCTGCTTGCTTTATCGTAATACGCTGGTAGGACACCAGTGAGGGATATTAGGTGAAGGTGAAAGTAAGTCACCTAGCTTAGCGTGAAGAATTCAACAAGAATGAATGACAACGGTTAAAAGGGGCCATTGTGTGGAGGTTGAAAATATCCTATATTGCTGCCAATGGGGCCGCTAGTCCCCAGTACTAATAAATCCATTTTCGCCGCAGATGGGTTTAGCATTCTAATAGTTTAGGGAACAGCGTTTGTTGTAAAATTTAGTTAATCCCACTACTATGTAAATGAGAATTTGTGGGGACGGTGTTTGTTACTCTTTCATGCAAAAACTACTCACTGGATTTCAATAAAATTTGTTACACAGATAGGTTAAATCCTAACCCTAGTACCCGTAACCGGCGAGCATGTATGAAAAGATTGATGAATGTGGAAGAAGCGAAAGAGGTTTGTTTGAATCGAAGCATTTGGCGTTCCATTGTTTCTGTCTACCCTAATGGGAGACAGGCGTGCCAGATATGTATGTATGTATGTATGTTAAATCCTAACTTAAAATACAGAATACATTATATGATAATTCACGTAAGAAAAGTTGCGGGATACAGTTAGTCACTTATAATAGTAAATTGATACGAATTATGTTGAAAATCTCGATTATAATTCAAATAGGTTAAATTAATAAATAATTAGATTATCGATTTCTGCCGGCTCCTGACACAAAATGGTCCATCCCTTACTTTTCTGCGGGTGTCTTAAGAGGCGATTCATGTAACTCAATGGTCGAGTCATGGACAGCACCGTGCCTTTTAAAACATCGCTAAAAGTCTAACTGCGGTTGACAATCTGCCTGCCAAGCGCGGTACTAGTGGCAAAACCCCCCATAGAGAAGGGGGTCTATGTTTTTTTATAACATAGTGGACAAACGAGCATGCGGCTCACTTGATTTTAAAGGAATATCGCCGCCCATGATCACCCGCAAAACCAGAGTCATTACAGATGTGCTGCCGGTTTTTTCAAAAGGAGTATGCTCTTTTTTTTAAGGTTATGATTTCGTATCGGTTCGGAAATATTGTTGCTGGAAATTGATAATTACCAGAGGGAGACTTTGTACAAAAGTCGATTGCTTGGATACTTCTGTCCCAGTCGTGTTTCTACCGTGAAGCAGTTGTGTTTGCATGGCTGTGTTTCGGTTTGAAGGGTGGAATATGGCGTGAATTTACAGGGCACAAAGGAATAACATCTGAGTCCTCAGGAATGGCAACGTATGGGGGGCATCATGGGCGAAATAGTATACTCTGTTATGTCCATGGTACTGCTCATGTCTATAGGCGATGGTTACCACTTTCCATCAGGTGGGCCGTCAGCTTGTTTGCCATTCTAAGTCGTATAAAAAAAAAAGTTGATGATTGGACAAAGAGTGTTTTATATTCAGCAGTGGACAGTTAACGGCCGATAGATAGATAAATAAGATTTTTATTTAAGCCATTTATGATACACGTAAATTTACAAATGAGTTTATACAATCAAATGATTTACACTTTATTAAATAAAAAAACAAAAGATAAAATACGAAAATATGGTTTCATCACGTATGTCGTAGTGACCCAAATGGGCTACAGCACAGTGATAGTTTTGTTCTAAAGCAAAACACTGATTTTCAGCTGCAGCCTGAAGTTAGGGTACACGGACGCGTACAACAAACCCAGAGTGTAACCTGTGTAACCAATTTAACAGCCAAAGATAAGTTTGTATTATATAGATATATTATTTATACTTCCATAAATGATGCATAAATAATATATTTCATTAATTAATACGATCGGAATGAGACTATTGACGTAAATATGACAAATAATTTCGAAATTAGAAGTAATTGAAGTAACAATGTACCTGACAGGCGTCAACACCACCTTCCAGTTTCCCGGCGCAGAGCTGGTGATCCTTTATTCCGACCCAGTGCCTGTTGGATGAAGATCTCAAGAATTCGTCGCAGTTATGGGAATCTATTATGTTCACTTCACCCGCCTGTAGCTCGTCAGATGTGTTGCGATTGCCTGAAATAAAAAAATATAGAATCTATTGAGAAATATTAAATACTGAAAGTAATAAAAATATTAGAAATATTTTTTCACTTATTTTATATAATGTAAATAAATTATTTATTTATTTTATTTATTAAACATAAGGACTATACAACAAAAGGACTTTGGACCCCGCACTAAGCAAACTTTTATTGCGAGTCTGTCAAGTGATTACCAAGACACAATGTTTTCTAAATATAGATCAGTGATTAGAGATTATTGATGGATTAATTTTATTTTATGATTTTTAAGATCATTAAAATACTGTGTACATTTAAAAAATTCTGTATGTTGATGTTCTAATACAAAGGATAAACAAGAACTTGGTTAATAATTATAAATCGTAAAAAAATGTTAATAATACCATTTATATAAATGAAAATTAAATTCTGTTCATTTGTATGTGCAGCACTTGTAAACTGTTGGACTGATTTGGTAATTTTTTTGAAGTTATAATAGTAATATAATAAATGTTTACAAGAATTAGATATTTTCCACGAAATCACATCGAATATTTTCGAATCTTCGAATCGGGCAACAAATATCTGGAAGCCAATCCAGATCACCTAGACCTGAGCCAATCAAGACAATTTTTACAACACAAATAGTGAATTATATTAGAAAACGTTTACTCTCTAAACTAGTATCTCCGGGAATGGAATCCAGGGTCTCATCTATGTAATGTGTCATGGCGTCCGTAAATGACTGATGAATGAGTATGTGGATAGGACAACCATTTATACGCCAAAATATTTACATAATCCTTTACTTATTCATAATGTTGCTATAGATAGAAATAAATGAAATATGATGGAGGAGGCTTTTACCCATGGGAGATCATACACCAAAACACAAGGAAGTGTTATAAAAATTTGTTAATACTGTAAAAAAATTAATCTTGTAAAGTATGCGAAATAAAGCTATAATAATAATACTTATTTAACCAATTTAAAAAAAAGAAGGAGATTCTCAATCTATTTGTATATTTATTTTTGTTTGTTACTTCATAACTGTAATATTTATAAACCGATTTTGAACTTTCTTTTTTATCTGAAAGGATATATATACTTTTAGATTAGGCTTATAGAAACTTTATTAAAATTTTTTTAGTAGTTTAGTTAAAAAAAAACTAGTTTTGCCATGACTTAAGTCGCTTTTTTATAGAACACAATCTTAATTAAAAACTACAAAGTGACTTTATAGCATTTTTGTTTTGTTTTTTACTTTCTAAACACATGGTTAAAACGAAAACTGGAAAAGAAAATAAAGACAACGCTGCATACCTACCATTTCTATAAACACCCCATCCAGTGACAGTGGCTTTGCTTCCAAAACTTTCATCATCTTTGCTCCACAAACATGCTGGTTGTATCACTTTGCTGAATGTCACTACTTTCTCCAATTCCATTAAGGCTATATCAAAATATTGCTTCGGAGGCTTGTATTGTGGATGTGGTATGATTCTAGAGATATTTATGTCCATAGAATCCTGTAAGAAAAAATCTATATTTATTACCTGCGTTGAATCGTATGTAATAATTATTTCGATTTAAAAACTAAATTGCTGAACCGATTGTAATAAAATTTCTATGAAATCAATCTTTTTTTTATACAACTTAGAATGGCAAACAAGCTGACAGCCCACCTGATGGAAAGTGGTAACCGTCGCTTACAGACATGAGCAGTACCATGGACATAACAGAGTATGCTGTTACGCCCATGATACCCCCCATGCGTTGCCAATCCTGAGGACTCAGGTGTTATTCCTGTGTATCTTGTAAATTCACGCCATATCCCTTCCTTCAAATTGAAACACAGCCATGTAAACAACTGCTTCATGGTAGAAACATGAATGGGACAGAGGTACCCAAGCAATCGACTTTTGTACAAAGTCTCCCTCTGGTAAACAGGTATCATTATTTTACCCGTTAACTGTCCACTGCTGAACATAAGCCTTCTTCATAAGGGGAGTTTTACCAGTAGTTGCCACTTTTGGCAAGCGGGTTGGCAATCGCAGTTAGACTGTTAGAGCTATTTTAAGAGGAGTGCTACTGCCTATCCCTCTACCATTAATTCCCCTTTGTCGCTTTTTATGACACCCACAGTAAAGGAAGGGATAGCTAATTCTATGCCGGGACCACACGGCCAATAACAGGTATACTTACCTCAATATTAATAACATTCTTAACACCAAATCTTATGATCTTTGGAACTACGTCCGCAATTCTGGAATCTCTCGGGGATGCTTTTGTACAGTGACCGGCGGTTAGTACAAACTTGGGGCTAATGAGGGTGCTCCCGCAGTTGAATAACCACGTATCCGTGACGCTCCTCCAGCCTATAGCGCCCTGGTGAGGAAAAGACATTTGATTAAATAAAAACGTCATATATACCTATACGATATTCATTTTGGGGTAGGTAGAGAATACAGGAATAATTTAAAGAAGTGAAATATGTAACCCTTTTAGATTATATAAAAATCAGTATTCATTTATAAATATAATATAGTAATATATAATAATAATAAATTCCCTAAACAAGTAAGATACTTGTCTTAAAGCGACTTACTGTTTTGAATCAAGCAGGTAAAACAGCAGAATATTAATGTAAATAGTGATATTTGAGAACCGAATGTAAAGTATCACAACACAAGCCCAAGAGGTTTAAGTGGTACTAAAAATCCAATTTTTTTAATGTATTTATGTATGATAATTAAATAAAAAAAAAAGTCAGTATGGGAGGTTTTAAATTTTTTGAGACATTAACACTCGCAAAACATAAACCACTTTTCTTCTGCAGTCGGGTAAAAATAAAATAATTACCATGTGAGGGAATTCTCCGGGTTCTGTGACTCTACCTCCGATGACGAAGCGATTACCCCAAAATTTTGATCGATATTGGGCACCTGTTTATTGAAAGAATATAAAATTATTTATTTAATGTAAGTATTTTTTTATTAAATATACCATGAAGTAATTAAATACAACATAATACCTATGAAAGTGTAAATAAAAATAAATGAAATTAAAACATTCATTTTGCTAAAGTTTTGTATCTCGTTATAGTTGTATATGACTCCCAATGTAAGAAAAATTACTATTGCCATCACAAAAAAAGCCTGTTCAGTGTACAAGTAATCTTGGCATTTTGGGTCCCAATCATCAGTTTTAGTGTCCATTCACACAGACCGGTTAGAAGAGGAGAATAGATTTAAATTGCATTTAAAATAGAGGTTTACACCATTGAAATAAGATTTATTTTTATATTTCACTTCTTTGCCGCGTCTCGAGCACTATTATATAACAAAAGAAGTGAAATGTGTAATACAATGTAAAAATAAACCGTAATCTTAGAACTCTTATTTTAAATGTGATCGAATTTGCTCTATTTCCTGAGCGGGTCTTTGTACTACACTTGTTACTTATTTTATTATTACTTGTCTCTTGGTAATAAATTTACTAAGACATTTTGTATTATGTACTTAATATAGTTTTATACTTACATCTTCGATCTTTCTCAATTCCATCTACTCGATCTTTTAACTGCCAGATATATTCGTAGCATTCTGTGAAAGTATCAAGATACCAACATCACAATGTAAAAATGCTACAAAATGATTTAATAATTGTTGCCAGTCGTACAAATATTGATGGTGGAGACATTTAGTTCCATAGAATGGGCCATCTCATTTTTTCTCGTAATCGTCGTAAAAATCGTAAATTTTCAATTAAAGTTTCTTCCCAATAACATAAAAAACCATTCTTTGGAATTAACTTCCAGTTTCAGTGATACATAACCTTCAAGTATATTCCTTTTTAAAAGGCAAAGACAGTCTGCATAGTTCCGGGTGTTGAATGGGTCATGCCATCCTTTCTCGTAGTCGTCGTAAGAGGCGACTAAGGGAACTTAATGATCGAGGGATGAGCAGCAGTGTTCCTTTTAACCTGCCAAGTGTGGCAACTACGGGCAGAACTCCCCATGGGGGAGGCCTATGTCCAACAGTGGGCAGTTAAAGGCTGATATGATGACGAGATAAATATATTAACTTACTTGTTATACTTATTCTGCGGCCAACAGCTGCAAAGTTTGGTTGGACTGATGGTGGTTCGAGGCATGGTTCCGGTGAAGATGTGGTTGGCGTGGTTGTAGTTGATGGTTTGGGCGTAGTTGTCGACTCCGTAGCTATTTGTCTTTCGTTATTTACCTGTAATAATAATAATATTATTGTATTCATATCGTAAATATTTTTTAACTAATATTATAAAGAATAAAAATTCTTTCTATAAAAATAATATTTTAATAAAAATTATACGTCCGTGTAGTTCAGGCATAGAATAGACTTTTTTTTATACAACTTAGAATGGCGAACAAGCTGACGGCCCACCTGATGGAAAGTGGTAACCGTCGCCTATAGACATGAGCAGTACCATGGACATAACAGAGTATACTGTTTCGCCCATGATACCCCCCTTGCGTTGCCATTGCTGAGGACTCAGGTGTTATTCCTCTGTACCCTGTAAATTCACGCCATATCCCACCCTTCAAACCGAAACACAGCCATGCAAACACAACAGATTTACGGTTGAAACACGAATGAGATAGAAGTACCCAAGGTCTCTCCTTTCTTTCCTTTTTGGGTGTCGTAAGACGGGATTAAGGAAACTTAATGGTCGAGGAATGAGCAGCGTCCCTCTTATAACATCATCGAAGTCTAACTGGTATTCCAACCTATCTGCCGAGCGTGGCAACTTCTAATTAAACCTCCAAGAGGAAGGTCTATATTCAGCAGTGGACAGTTGACAGCTGTCATCATCAAATACGTTAGCAGTGATTAACATGCACTGTATTTTATTTAAAAAAGAAAATAGTGATATTTTACCTTTCAACCCGTGCAAAGCCGCGGTGGGTCACTAGTATGTTATACAGTTTTCAATACAGTGTATTACTCACATAAGGCGTTGACGCTAGTGAATCGACGTAACTCCAGTCCCACCCCTCGTTTTGCTAAAACAAGAAGATTATGAATAAGTCGACGGGACAAGGTCACAGAAGTCCCAACTGTTAATTACTTTTTCAATAACTTTGTTATTTAGTTTGAGCATGTAATTTAGTATTTTATGAAGCAGACTGTTTTAAATGTACAATATGTATGAGGAGTGTGTGTCGCCGTGTGTGCCTTGGCATAGAATGGACCAGCTCTTCCTTTCCCGTAGGTGTCGTAAGAGACGACTAAGGGAGAGCGAAGGGGTTGGGCAGCAGCGTCCCTCTTAAAGCATTTCTAAAGCTTAACTACAGTTGCCAACCCGCCTGTCAAGCATGGCAACTACTAGTAAAACTCCTCTTATGGACAAGGCTTATGTCCAGCAGTGGACAGTTAAAGGCTAAAATAATTAAAATAATGTATTAAGAGACTAAGGGAGGGTCAGGGATGGGCGACAGCGTTCTTATTAAAATATCTCCAAAGCCTAACTGCGGTAGACAATCTGTTTACCAAGCGTGGCAACTACTGGCAAAACCACCCTAAGGGGGAGGTTAATGTTCAGCAGTGGACAATTAAAGGCTAATATAATGATAATATGTATAGAAGGAGTTTTGAACATAGATAAAGCAAGACGTGTATGTGAGGTTGGAAACTGAGGTAGATAGTCAGTTTTTTGAATAAATTATGATGATTGTATTGATGTTATTCTCATATTTTTTTGTGTAAAATATCCTTTTTTATTAAATTTTAATTCTAAAAATAAAATTGAAGTAACAAACGTGAGATAGGGACATAACTAATAATAATAAATTGTTCAGAAATCAAGAGTAGTCAAAAAATAGAAAATTTTTAGGTCGTACTATCTTATAATAGTCGTCAGGTCTGATAAACAATGTTTTGCTCCTCTCTCTCTATCCCTTGCTATTACAGTTTCATTTGTTGAAATGACGAGAACAAAACGAATGATTCATCACTCACTCATTCATTTAAAGTACTCAAATTTCTAATCAATTATTACATATTTTTTTGTCATTCATCATTGTTCGCTGTTTAAACAATTGTGTAGCAGTTGTTTAATTTTTTATTTTATTTTTTTAATTTGATCATTGCTCATTGTAATGTCGATGAACTTGGACCTTACCCGTTTGAGTCTTGAAACTTTTTCTTCTGTCGCTTCTAAAATTTGTATGGCAGCAACTAAAAGTTTTATAATGAAATAGGTAAAATAAATAGATATACGAAAAAATAATTATAAAATGGGTCAACCCTTTCTTTCCTGTGGGTGTCGTAAGAGGCGACTGAGGGAGGGCGAGGAATGGGCAGCAGCGTCTTTTAAAACATCTCTAAAAGTCTATATAACTAAATCGTATTTCACAAAAAAAAAATATTTTAATTGTAGCAGAACCAGTTAATTTAAAAACTAAACTAATAAACCATATTTATTAAAATGTCTACAAGGCCATACTGTGAGTATATTAATTCAGATAAAAAAAAAGAAATTTCCAAATCGGTCCACAACTGATGGATTTATAAGGCAATAAACATTAAAAAAACATACAACCGAATTGAGAACTTGTTTCATTTTAAAATCGACTGATAAGGACTTACAATAAAAAACTTAATACATCGAATATATTTGAGGGCATCGAATATTACAAAGATGTTACTGGTACGTTCAAGGAAAGTCTACAACGCTGATTGTATCTACATATAATTTATCACAATTTACAAAGAAACCTGTTTTTGTCAGCAGGTAAGCTATGTATTTAGCCATCGTAAAATTCAACGGTATCAACGTCAGTAACAGGTTTACAAGAAATAAACAATACATTGTTAATTTATTACCACTTTGTAATAACTTGTTACCTGTACTATGAAACTGTACGGAGATTTGTCTACAAATGTAGTAAATAGATAAAGTCATATCCTATTTTATTTTTTTATTGTTAATATGCGTAAATGAATGAATGAAAACTCTTTGTATTAACAATATGTTGTATACATAATATAATAAATATAATAATTATATGAAAACAAGATAAAGAGGCAACAATGGGCGGCCTTATTGTTAAATAGCGATCTCTTCCAGCCAACCTTACGATGGAGAGGAATTATTAAAATTGTGGCTGGTGAAGGCGTAACAGAAAAATAATGATAAATGTTTTTATTTTTTTTTGTGTCGTATAGTGGTCGAATAATACGTTTCACTACTTTTTTTATCATCGGAATGTAAAAGTCGATTAGGGATTTTTTTATTTTACACAAAATATAATAATATTGGCAAAACCCCGTAACAAAAGAGGGAGGCCTATGTTTAGCAGTGGACATGTAATGGCTGATATGGTGACGACGATACTAATACTAAAATACTATTTACTACAGTATTTTAATTTGTACTTAAAATAAATGTAATAAAACTATATTTACCCATAGAAAATAGTTTTAAAATAAATATGAACATGTTGAAATACACGTTATATATTAATTTTCATTATTAATTTAATACTTAATAATTAAATCACAAATGTGAGTGATCCACAGATACGCACAAACTTGAATGCCAAGTTACGTTAAAATTGATTGAACAGGAAAATGGAGGAAAAATATTAAACGATTCAACGATAAACATATTATGAATAAATACCTACTAAACAGATTAATTTTACCTTATATTTTATTATTATATTATTTTTAATAAAAAAGGCATGGAATCAATGGTTTTAGCTAGGTACATAACTTCGTAGTTATTACGTTTTTGTCTTTTTGTCAATTATTTGGAGATGACGTAATTAAGTTTACATCAATATTTCTTAAGGTATTTATTGTCTTTGGTTTTAAGACTGACAGTCTATCTAAAATCAACCCTCCTTAATAATGCATTTGTCGATGCTATCCGCCATTTATCTATGTAGTCCCGGTATAGAATGGGCCAAATCTTCCTTTCCCATGGGCGTCATAAGAGTCGATTAAGGGAACTTAATGGTTAAGGAATGGGCAGCATGGTCCCTTTAAAACATCACCGAAGCCTAATTGTGGTTACCAACCCCCTTGCCAAGCATGGCAACTACTACTAATATGACGATGATTCGCCACTTTCGGCATAGAACAAAGGTTTGAGAAAAAGTAGAGGGACGTTGAGAACGAGTAAAGAAAATTCGTAAAAAGAAATGAAGGATTTACGGGGAACAGTGAAAGGAACTAGTGGCTTTAGAGGCCGGGACCGCATGCCCGTGTGTCCTTACTTTAGAACTGGACACGTCACTAGAGGAGAACATCCCAAGCACACATAGTTATCTACCTAGATTATTTCAATTTATATTATTATACATCATATCAGGCGTTGACTGTCCGCTATTGGACATAGGCCTCTTCCATAAGGAAGGTTTTGTCAGTAGTGCCATGCTTGGCCAGCTGGTTGGCATCTGCATTTAGATTTTGATGATATTTTAAGAGGAACGTTGCTGCCCAGCCCTCGACCATAATTTCCCTTAGTCGCCTCTTACAATACCCACGGGAATGGGAGTGATGGCCTATCCATGCCGACAAAAATTAAAGAATTTTCAAAAATATAGAAAAGTTCCATTGCAAGGAGTCAGTGTACGCAGGTGGCTCAGGACCGTTATCTCATCATAGTCTATGGGAGAAGCCTGTGTCCAGCAGTGGACAGATAATGGTTGTATTAATGATGATCATGATAGAAAAGTTAGATATAAATACTAGAGGGAGACTTTGTACAAAAGTCGATTGCTTGGGTACCTCTGCCCCATTCGTGTTTCTACCGTGAAGCAGTTGTGTTTGCGTGGCTGTGTTTCAGTTTGAAGGGTGGGATATGGCGTGAATTTACAGGGTACAGAGGAATAACATCAGAGTCCTCAAGCATGGCAACGCATGGGGGTATCATGGGCGAAATAGTATGTTATGTCCATGGTACTGCTCATGTCTATAGGCGACGGTTCCCACTTTCCATCAGGTGGACCGTCAGCTTGTTTGCCATTCTAAGTTGTATAAAAAAAATTGCATTTAATTTTATAACATTTTCGATCCGTTTTCTTTAAAATACCTGGTGTGTCGTTTGCTTGTAATTTTGGATATTATGCTTTATAATAATAATAACATTTAATATATTTTTTTATTTTCTGAAATTTAAATACTGATATTTGACAGATATGTAAATATATATATTTGACAACTGATAATAAATGGTTGAAATGGCTTAAATCATAAGCCATATTATATCAGTGTCACGAGAAGCATTTCTGAAATAACTGGATCCTTTGAATCCCCGAAAAATATTTTATTTACTTATGGATTTATTTATTCATTAGTACAAATATGTGTACATGGTGGACTAAAAGCATTCTCTCCTAGTGTAATGGTCTCCCCCTAGAGAATTTTTTTTTTGGAAAGTAATTAAATAGTCGTCAACCCTTTTAAACTTTTAACACATAAATATAATTAGATCATTATAGTGAACACTCGATCATTTGGCCAAATTAATAAATGTGTGATCGTCTAGTAATATAGGATCCGTTGTGTGTGTAATAACCAAGAGGTTCTTTAATTGGTATATGACAGGAGTTAAATAATGAAGATGATTGATAAATCTTTAAGGATTAAGAATACTTAATGAATTATACTCATATTTCATGAAACTAGAAAGTTATGTTAATTTACTAATAAATTACACAATAATTGTAAAAAAAATAAATAAGGTAGTGGTCGAGCCCCCCACATGCCCAGACCAGTGGAAGCCTTTCCAACTATCTATAGCTCTTCCTCCAGAAAAGACAGGGGCTTTGAAGATGCATAATGTACTGGGTAGTTAGGGAAGTACAGAGTATTCTTAGTTCCAAACCAAATCAAAAGTACATTATTACATCAACATTATAATGGCTCCACCAGCCCCACAATGCTTCCAGTAGAAGAGTAGTTATTTTGCCAATGGCAAAAGATCGAAACTAAAGTCCCGGGATCACTACGTCACGAGAATTTACTTTGGATGCAAGCCCTTTCGGTCTTATAAGGTGACATTAAGAAATCAACCCGTAGATACAGCACGTAGTCGAAACTGAAGTCCCAGCTCAGTCACGAGCTTACTTATGGGAGTTTCCTTTCTGCTCAAATGTGACAATAGAGATCAAACTGTCGAGACAGCCCGAGACGCGACTGAAATCACGAGATCACTCAGACACCAGAACTTACTTATGGGAGAGGCTCCGTTTCGGCTCTATAATGTGACATTAGAGATCAACCCGTGGAGACAGCCCGATAAATATGTAGAATAGTGTAATAGGGTTTACCTTCCACACCGTAAGATTGGCAAAGCCAATATAATGTTGATAGCTGCTATATGTAAATATAGCATATTTAATTTTGTATAATTTACTTAATACCAAGAATACTCAAGGATTAAGATAGGTTTTGTGAATGTTGATTAGGCTGAAGCCAAATATATGTAGAACAATCCGTAGGAAGAGAGCACTAAGATTGTTTAATTTTGATCATAATTTGTTTGTTGAATGGGCCGTAGCCAGGTATGAGTAGATCAACCTGTAGGAAGAGAGCTACTAAAAGTGTTTGTTGAATGGGCCGTAGCCAGGTATGAGTAGATCAACCTGTAGGAAGAGAGCTACTAAAAGTGTTTGTTGAATGGGCCGTAGCCAGGTATGAGTAGATCAACCTGTAGGAAGAGAGCTACTTAAAGTGTTTGTTATGTAGGCCGAAGCCAAATGTTACGCTAAAGATGGCTTAGTGAATAGTATAACTTAATAATGTTTAAATTCCGCCTATTCGGATAATGACATTTTAAATAAACTAATATACCTAGTAGTAATGTAATAAATGCATACCACATAACTATACTAACTATTTAGAATCGGTTAAATTAAAATGCGTAGAACGTGGTCATTAAATAAACTTATGCGCTTAAAATTAAAGTTTGCTTAAAATTCAGCTTATTTGGATAATGAGCTAATGGTGTTTAAGTAAAGAAATCTTAAGTCTATGTAATAAGTAACGTATAACATAGAAAAGTTATTAAAATCGGCTTAGTTAATATGTAAAACATAGTATTTAGATAATTGTTTCATTAAAATCGGCTTCGCTATCGATACATATAATAAACTTGCAACTGGTCATCTTCCGTCCCTGGAGTAAAGTAGTAATTGAATAACGCATAACTATAATGACTATTTAGAATTAGTTAAGTTAGTATATATGATACAGTGTTTAGATAAATTTATGAGCTAAAGTTTGTTCAGAATTCAGCTTATTTAGATAATAAGCAAATGGTGTTTAAGTAAATAAATGTCAAGTCTACCTAATTATTATTACGTTACTATAATAACTAGATAAAAGAGTCGTTGAAATGGGCTTAATCAAGAACAAAATAAATCATTAAAATCAGCTTAACAGATAACAAAGTGGCATTTAAATAAAGCATCAAGAAAATCAATCTAATAGATGAAATAAAACCATAACAACTATTTAAACGAGGTTATCAATATCTTAATTTTAGTTCAATAAATTACTAAAATAGTTATATAATATTGTTCGAATAAAATGTCATTTAAAAATATCAATGAAATCGACTAAACATTTTAAACAAAATAAACATTGAAACTAATTTACTTAATTATCTCAATTATTATAAATTCGAATTCAATGTGTTATATTCGAGACCTATCTTACCATTACGTTAAAATAAATCTAACCAAAATAGACTTGGAAACAGACGTATAATAGAAATATAACGCGAATTGTAAATAAACGATAATAGTATTGAGCAAATTAGTAATTCAGAGATAGCATGTTTTATAAAATATTCATAGGTAGATAAATGTTACATATTAAGTAGTCAGGTAATATATCAGCATAAATAGTTTCGAGGGATAGAGTGAATTAAGAATGTTACAGATCGCTAATTGTTTCCCTATACCATACTCTGACGTTGAACCAGGCTCAGAAGAACGCATCTGTATGACAATAAGCCACTATATAAAGCAACAATCGTCCCACAGATGGTTTAAAGGAGTCTTGATCTCAGAGTATTACGAATCGTTTCTAATATCAAAGCAGCACGATAAGCCGAATAACGAAATAAGAGAAATAATATACACATGCACATAAAATTTAAAAATGGTATAAAAATAGAATAAATTAAACTTAAATGATAAAATAGACAACTTATAGATACATACATGCACATAAAATCATATTGCTGAAATAGAATTAATAAGTTAAAGTAAATGCTGAAAGAATAAATAGATGCTGAAAATAACATTATTAGTCATACAATTAATAATTATTTAGGTCGCACAAAGCATTATTGCTTGTGAATTATGTGCTTCCTCTATTTTTTTTTAACATTATTCCTTTAATCAGTTTATATTTTAATATCTTAAATATTCTTCTCCTAATTTTAAGTCCTTATCGTATGCCTATAAGTTCACTAAATCCTACTCAAAATTTATTTAAAATTCTAATTTGTAAATTTTGTAACATATATGATTTTCATATGAAAATAGTAGTTTTATTAATTTAAGATCCATTATGACGTACAATTTTTTTTATACCACAGGTAG